TAAGTAACCGAATGCTTCAAGAACGTTTTCAGCATTCCGGTGAAACTGTAAGTCAGCATTTTACAGATGTGTTAGTTGTTGTCATAAAGATGTCTATTGATTTTATAAAACCTCTTGATCGTGAATTTAAAGAAGTACCTCAATACATTCGCGAGAATCGAAAGTACTGGCCACATTTTAAGGTAATTCTTTATATAATTTTGTTATTTTAATTTGATATTATTAATTATATAAAAATTTACTATTTATTGATTGTTAGGATGTTGAACCAAGAGAGGGGTGAATTGGATAAAACTTTGCTTTCAAAAACTTTCTGACACACTAAGCAAGCAATCAAAGAACAGATAACACAAGATTTACAAGGACACCCTCTTAATTAGGGAAAACCTTGGTTTTTGGCCTCGACCAATAAGCAATCCACTAGTTCTATGTATCTTGTTACACACTCAGCTATCTCACTCTCTACACACCCATGCACCAAAGTAGACACTAGTTTTCACAACCAATACACACACACTAGTACACCACAGTGCATCCAAGCACTCCCCCTGTCTGAAGCAACCACGCTTGGACTAAATAAGCTCTCACAGCTCAATCAATAATGGGGTGAGGATGTAACGCCTCACTACCATAAACAATAAGTGTCAACACACTAAATACAATAAAGTCTCTGTAACAATTAAAATGGGTTGGGCAACACAGAATTCCAAATTACTGCCTCAGAACTACAGTCCGCTGCATCTACGGTCTGAGGGGTAAAACAGAAAATTCCTTTTGAGATTAATTCACCAGAGCTCATACAATCTCCTTTCACTGTTGTACACATGTTCATAGCTTTGCATAATCAAACACAGCATGAGTATATCACAAAGTTTAGTCAAAGTTCTTTGTTTAGAAAATAACAGCTTCGGCACAGAAAGCTTCAGCATAGAAAACTCAAAAATCAAAGCATGCCATATTTTTGTCACGAACTCAACTCTATCAATCTCAATTCATCAAAATATACTAGCTAGTAGCATAGATCATCATGAAATAGCTAAGTATAATCAAATAGCACTTGAATCCAAGATTTCTTCAGAAAAACAAGCTTAACTAGAGACCACACCGTCCAAGTTCATTTTCAGCATATTCTCAACACAAACACAGTCTGAACAAGTGTAAAAAGATGAATTATACCTATTTCAATCTTCAGAATCGACCACAGCAGCTTGAAACACCAAGTCACTACTCAATACAGCCCTCGCATTAACAACTTTGACATCAGCCTCATTTTAGCAATCAGTACACACCTCGGAGTGGATTCAATGGGTTTTTCTTGCATAGATCATCATCAAATAGTAGAAAAAAAACCTGCTTAATAGAGTATACTCAAGGTTTCTTAGCAGCAGCTCAATGTGCAATGTAAATTCAAGAGGCTTGAACCCTAAGAAGCCTTACAACAACATATTTATAGTGACACTGAATTATGCAAGCCCTCACACACCATGGATATACACCTGTCACCTCTAACCGATGATTGAGAGAGCGCATTTTAGATATTTTCAAAGCAATAGACCAATACAGACCTGCCACCTCAGCTAATTTTGTCATTATTCTTCCAGCTACAGCAGGTTACAAGTTTAAGTACTGAATTCCATTTGTCCAAACTTAGCCTCCAAGAATGAAATATTGTTGCATATACCAGCTCTCTAGGACCACTGAGATGTGTCACATTCTTCTCTAGGACCACTGAGATGTGTCACATTCTTGACCATAGATGGAAAAGACCATACTGCCCTCAAAACATATTTAACTCTACTCAGCACCGTGACAGAGCCGAAGCTGTATTCCTCACAATGCAAGTTCAATTTCAGTGTAATGCAGGTACCTGAGCATACATACATACATATATATATATATGTATATATATATAACTGAGAAGAAACCATAGTACCCCTGTGAACACCTATAGCTGAAACTGAAGTGATAAACCTTTACTGTCTGAGGCTGAGCACCTGTAGTTGCTGAACTTTCATTGTTCGAGGCTGAGCACCTGTAGCTACTAAACCTTCACTGTCCGAGGCTGAGCACCTGTAGCTGCTAAACCTTCATTGTCCGAGGCTGAAGCATTGCAATACTTTTTGACATTAAAAGGCAAACATTCCTTAAGGTAACTTAGAACCAACAATCTCCCCCTTTTGCCTTTAATGACAAAAACCAAATAACCGTGAAATAATTTTTAAAGATAAAGGTTCAGTAAGTAAAACAACCTAGATGCAAAGGAATAGCTTTGAAACTATCCTTATTTCAGTCCATTTCTCCCCTTTTTTGACATTGAAGGTCAAAAGGTGAGTAGGACAAATAATATAAGTTCAGGAGGGAGGAGGAATAACCCTAAGAAGAGCTCGAAGGGTTGAGAATCTCTGAGGAAGAAGAGGTTTGGTCATGATGTCTTCAAGTTGATCTTTAGTAAGCAAATAGGTAATATCAATAAGACCTTTTTGAACTTTATCTCTGAGAAAGTGATATCGGATGTCAATGTGGTTGCTCTTCCAATGCAGTGTGGGATTCTTACTGATAGTAATAGCACTTTGATTATCACAGAAAAGCTTGGGAGGTCCTGAGAATTGAATGCCAAGATCTGAGAAAGTAGTTTTCATCCAAAGTAATTGTGAACCAGCTTGTGAGGCAGCAATATACTCAACTTCAGAGGTTAAAAAAGATACAGTGTCCTATTTTTTACTCAGCCACGAGACCACATTTGAACCCAGAGTGTAGCAACAACCAGAGGTACTTTTTCTGTCAGGTATCCACCCCAATCAGCATCTGAGAAAGCTGCAATAGACATTGAGGGTGAGTAAATGTAGAATAGACCATATAAGATGGTACCCTTGACATATCTGAGGATTCTTTTGGCAGAGAAACTTTTGGATTACTTTGAAATCTGGCCACTAAACCTACTGAATACATTATATCAGGCCTTGAAGCAGTAAGATACAACAAACTACCAATGATTGACCTGTAAAGTGTTGAAGGAATAACTTCAGTAGTGCACTCCAGTGAGATTTTGGTATTAGGACATAGTGGTGTCAAGACAGCCTTACAATCATCCATTTTGAACTTTTTAAGTAGCTCCGAGGCATACTTTTGCTGAGAGATGAAGATTCTAGAGGAAGTTTGTGTAATTTGTAGGCCTAAAAAGTATCTGAGAGTCCCCAATAGTGACATTTCAAACCTTGTCTTCATGAGATTAGCAAATTCTGAAGCTAGTGAGGTGTCCGAGCTATAAAACATGATATCATCAACATAGATTTACGGAATTAAAAACTGTTCTTGATGAGTTTTTACATAAAGAGTATTATCAACCTTGCCTCTATGAAATCCTTGTTCAACTAAAAACTAATGCAGTTTCTCATACCAGGCTCTGGGGGCTTGTTTGGGACCATATAAGGCCTTACTTAGTTTGAACACATGAGAGGGATACTTTGAATCTTCAAAACCTACAAGTTGTTCCAGGTAAATTTCTTCATTTAAGTCTCCATTTAGGAAAGCTGACTTAACATCCATTTGATATACAACTTATTTGTGACAAGCAAAAGACAAAAGCATTCTAATGGATTCCATTCTAGCAACTGGAGCAAAAGTTTTATCATAATCAATTCCAGCTTGCTGAGCATAACCTTTACACACCAATCTTGCCTTATTTGTATTTACTAATCCCTTCTCATTCATCTTGTTTCTGTAAATCCACTTTAAACCTTTCACATTCTTGTCTTCAGGTCTGGGAACAAGTGTCCAGGTATCATTCTTGTGAATTTGATCAAGTTCCTCTTGCATTGCAGCTAACTAGTCTTTACTTTTCTAAGCTTCAAAATAGGACTTTGGTTCAATGGATGACAACATAGCAAAGTGACTGTATTATTTATCACCTTCAGCTTCTAAATCTTTTAGCTTCTTTTTGTTTTTCGTTTGAACTCCAGCTTGAGATGTACCAATGATGTTCTTAGCTTGAACCTGCCTCTACAGCACTAGATGGGTGATTTCTCTAGGGTTTTCAGGTTCAAGAACTGAGGTACTGGATTCATTTGAACCAAATGTGTTGTTACTATCTTCAATAAGTGTTGACTGAGGATTCTCATCAAATTTCACATTGATTAACTCAACCACCTTCGAGGACCTAAGATTGTAGCATCTATAAGCCTTGCTTTTTGTAGAATATCCCAAGAATATACCTTTATCAGCCTTTGAATCAAACTTTCCCAAACTATCAGTGTGGTTCAGTATTAACACTTATTGCCGAACACCTTGAAGTAGTAAACAGTTGCAGGTCTTCCATACCACAATTCATAAGGTGTTTTGGTTGAATTAGGTCTGAAAAGAACCCTATTTATGTTGTGCATAGCAATATTCACAGCTTCAGTCCAAAAACCCTTTGCCAAACCTTTTTCAAATAACATTATTTTCCCCATTTCTTGAACTATCCTATTCTTTCTCTCCACTACTCTATTTTTTTGAGGTGTAGCTACAGCAGAGAATTCCTTCTTAATCCCTTTGTTATCATAGTAATGTTCAAATTCTTTCATGGTGAACTCTGAACCAAAATCAAACCTGAGCTTCTTTACAGTATAGCTTCTTTCATTTTCAATAAGATTGACAAACTTAGTGAAGTGTGTAATAGCTTCAGACTTCTCTTTCAAGAAATAAACCCACACCATTCTACCGAAATCATCAATTGGCAGCATGAAATACTTACTACCACCAACACTTGTGGTTCTGGTAGGGCCACAAAGATCCATATGTATCAGGTCGAGAGCCTTAGAAGTGTTGATTTCCTTAGAAGGAAATGACACTTTGGTTTGCTTTCCTTGTTGACATGCTTTACAAAGGTGATCATCCTTAAAACTGATGTCAGGCAGTCCTTTAACAGCTTTCAATTTTAAGATCTTGGACATATTTCTTGAATGAAGATGACCTAACCTCTTATGCCACAACTTTGCTTTATCACAGGTTGTTAAATTACATTAAGTGACTTGACTTGCTTCAGTGACTGTGCACACATTTTCTGAAGATCTATTAGCTGAGAACAAATCTTGTTTTGATTCAAGATCAATCAAATTGCATCTTTCTTTATTGAAACAGACTTCCTTCCCACTGTCACATAATTGACTGACGCTAAGGAGATTATGTTTGAGTCCTTCAACCAATAGAACTTCTTGAATTTCTGGTAATTCTTCAAACTTACTCATAGTACCAATTCTAACAATCTTAGCTCTTTGATTACCTCCAAAGATAACATTTACACCATCAAACTGCTTTAAAGAATTAAATTTGGAACCATCACCTATCATATGTCTTAAGCAGCCACTATCAACATACCATTTGTCATGAGTATTACAAGCTTTAAAGGTTGTATACACAAGAAGACTCACAGAGTTCAGCTTCTTAGGAATCCACATCATTTTCGTCTTCACCAATGATCCTTTCTCCTTGACCTTCTAAGCTGAAACTAAGTTTGACTTCTTGATATACATTCTAGTTATCTTGAAGTTCCTTATAGCCGAGGTAACAAAGTCTCTCATGTTGAAGCTTAGAGCACTGCAGGTGTTATTCAGTAACTCACCCTTGAACCTCAGAGGTTTTATGATGGGAAACCGTGCATACACTTCACCAGTTATGGCTTTAACAAATACAGAGTGAGTTTGATTGACCTTCGTAGCTGAATCACACACATAACCAATTCCAATCTTCCCAATTTACTTTGTGGATTGCTTCCAGATCTCAGCCATCTTTAGGGATCTTTCTTCAAGAATGAGAAACAGTTCTTCTTTACACTTCTTAGTAGACCACTGAGTGTTGACTTGAGATTTCAATAGGCTTTGAAAAATAAGAGAAACAGAACACAGCATTGAAAGTTTAAGTTTGAAATGTTTAGTGAGATTTGTTTAGACTCTAACAATTCTGAACTGAGCTTTTTTATCTGGGAATTCTGTTGGTTACACTTCACTGCAAGCTTTTCACATTCTTCAAGAATTTCCTCAATCTCAGTGTCACTATCTTCTTCAACTTTAACTAAAGTTTGTAGTGCTTTGAGAATTGCCATAAAGAGACCTTCATCTTCTTATGTCTCCTCAGATTTATCTTTTTTAAGAACCGCATCCCAATCTGAGATAAGTGTTTTTTTACCAAACCTTCCTTTGTAGTTACCTCCCTCATTCTTTTTCTGACTTTGCCCCTTTGAGTTCGGACAATGAGATACAACATGACCAGGTTTATCATAACCATAACAGATTACATTTTACAGCTGATTCTTCTTTTTAAACCTGAACTTCCTAAATTTTTTAGCAAGGTAGGCTACCTCATCTTCTTCAAGATCATCTTCAGACTTTATTTTAGTTTCTTTAACAACTTCCTTTGCTTTAAAAGCAATTTCTCTTCTATAAACAACTGGAACACCAATTCTCATTTCATAGGTAGTGAGAGAAGCCTGAAGCTCGTCAATCTTCATTCTAAAAAGATCTTTGTCTTCGAGATTTGTCACTTTAGGATTGAATCTAGAAGTGAGTGACCTCAATATCTTCTTACAAACATCAACATCCTTAATATCTTTACCAAGAGCTCTCATATTGTTGACAAAGTCATTGATTCTTGTAACGATCCGGTCATTTGCCTCCCTTTCATTTTTCTTGAAAATTTACGGATAAATTTTTTCCGTTTAATTTTCTTTTCTGAGTTCTGTTTCGTGTCGCTTAGTGTCATCTCGAGTGCTGGGAATTGGTTTCTGAGACTCTTTCATGTGAATTGACAACTTCCTTTGAGGATCGAGTCATTTTCGCATTTTCACTTTTCGGACACTATGCGTCTTTCGTCTTTTTCCCTGTTTCGTGTTTTTCCCTATTCTGTCTTTTCCCCGTTTGCCACTTGTTTGGGAAAACCTCACTTTTCATGCTCGGAGTTGGTTTTTGACTTCACGTGTCTTCATCTTGAGTAGTTTCCTCCAAATACGCATCTTTACTTTTGCAAGAAAGTACTCTGGTTGCTCCCGGTGTCCATAGGGGCATGGATGCACAATTCTTTGGAATTATTTTCTTTTCTTGGGGTGTTTTTCATAAATATCTTTTGAAGATATTTTATTTTAGGGGTATTTAAGAAAATATCTTTTGGAAGATATTTTCATTCTGGGGCAGTTTCGTAGTTAACCCTTTTTGTAGGGGCCATTGTGCAATTAACGAAAGTTATTGCAAAATATCTTGTTTGGAGCCTAGATCCTCGTACAGGATTCATTTTCACTTTTTGTTGACTCGTAAATTCATAGAATTTCCTTCTGGTCGTTTTTCTCCAGTTTCAGAGTTTCTGGACCTAGTTGCCGCCGAACTTGTTCGAAGCATAACTCTCTGTTCGGGACTCAGTTTTTGACGCCATTTCTTCCGTTGTTCATATTTTCTCATTTTGAATCTTTTTTGTTCATGGAGTTTTGTCGTTTGAGCGCGTTTGCTCAAAATCCACTTTTCCAGACCCGGCGGGGCACTTTCAAGGCACTTTTTGAGACTTACTATAAATAGAAAGTCTTAAAGTGAAAAATCAGATTTTCACTCTTCTTCTCCACCTCTTGGCCGGCAGCCATGGAAGCTCCTTGGCTACCACCCTTTGACCTTCTCCTCCACTTGATTTCCTAAGTGAAATCTCTTCGGCCTTTATGTTTATCACTCCCCTCGACGTGCTCTACCATTCCCCCTTATTAGAATTCATTTCTGACCATTTCTTAAGTTTGGACTTGAAGTCAAGTTGTGATTTTCATGGGGCTTCCTTCGGATTCATGTAGATTGTGTTGTCCCCGACAAAACCCTTTGGTTTTGGCGAATTCGGAACACTTTTTTTTCAGTGGGGATTTAAGGTTTTCATCTCAAATTGAGGTAGGGGGTGTTATAATTTAAATTCTTGCTATATTACATGCTTGTGATGCTTATACAACTTGATTACATGCTTGTATGTAAAATCTAGAGATTTTATTATTTATTTTTCTTGTGAAGGATTTAATTTTACCGGTTGTCCATAGCTTTGTTTAATCATGTGGTATGATAGAATATTACCCCTTGATATGTAGATTGACATATAATAAATCTAGATTATTTGGACAAGTAATGAAGATTTTATTTAATATTTATCTTGAATAAAATATTAAATCATGTGGCCTTATCTAGCTTTAAATCAACATGTGATAGCATATTATATTAGGCCCTAGTATGCTCTTCAACATAGATTAATTTGAGAGTAATCGGAGAAGTTTTGAAATCTAGTAATATTTAATTAATTAGATTAATTAAATTGCTCTGAGTGTACTATTCACTCCATTGGAAATTCGACTTGAAATTCTTGATGTACATGCCGTATAGTTTCACATATATTAAATCTAGAATATTTGATTAGGTTTTGAAACCTTTCATTTATTATTTTTCTTGTATTAAAGTTTAATACTCAAGGCTGTAACTTGCATGAAATGTACTTGTATTGTGTTCTTAAATCAAGTTATGACATGTTGTATAACATATATTCAATTGAGGTCATTTGGATGACTTTCACAATCTAGAGATTTTAATTAAATGAAATAATTAAAATCCATTTAATGGTTCTATGCACTTAATTAAGTTTCTAACCTTGTATTCATGATTGTCTTGATAAGTTCCTTCACGTGTATTACATTGAGCATAATCGGATAAGTTTGACACTTACACTTACTTGTTTTACTTGTATGGAACTTAGTTCACTTAGTTGTAACTTGTATTCCATGGAGCTTTTAGCCTTTCACATGTAACTAGACCCCGTGTATCTTGGTTTCATTAATGTACTTAATGAACTTGCATCATTGTCTTGGAATGATTTAATTATCCATGTTTTGCTTAGTAAATAATTAAATCATTAATCTTATACTTGTGGTATTTTTGCATTGATGGATTTTATGTGATATATATCCTAGTTTGTAATCTATGTAGATGCATACTATGATTTCTTGACATTTCACATGCCATGTTAGTTGAGAACTTAGGGCATGACTTGTATGTTTCCAAAATCTTGATTATGCATGAAACGTGTTTAATGCATTACTTGTGTCTTAATGCTATCTTGACTAGCACAACTTGTTGATTTTGGAAACTTGGTGATATCAATCAAGATTGACATGGCTAGGACTTGGTTCTAGTACGGGAGAATGCCCCTCTACACTATAGTTCGTACTTGGGGAAGGTACCCATGGGTTAGTAGCCCTAAAGTGATCCCAAGATTCCGGTTTTCTATAGTACGCATTAGGGGAAGGTACCCATGGGTTAGTAGCCCTAAAGTGATCCCAAGAGTACGGTTTTAATCCGGGCGATATCCGAGTTTCCACATTGGTTGATTTCACTCTTTAAATTTCAAGTTGCTATTCCTTGAAGATTTAAACTTGTCGTGTATGTGAAATGCTCCAATCTTGTTTACTTACAAAGATATTATGTCTTGCTCTTTATTTCATGTATTACTTCTATCGTGTTAATTGGAATGCTCCAATCATGTTAATTACATTGATAATGTAATTCCTGTTAACTTGTATTCGAGTATACTCCTTGTCGTGTTAATTGGTATGTTCCAAACCTTGTTTAACTCCATTAATAATGTGATACTTGTATTCTAGTATCTTTTTGTCGTGTTGTATGGAATTATTCTAAATCTTGCTTAATTGTATTTGATAATGTAATTCATGTTAACCTATGTTCTAGTGTCCTTCTTGTCATGATCTTGAGTTATCCCAACTATGAATTGTTTCATGTGTGTATATATATCATGATTCTTGTTGCTATTACTCCATGGTAGCTTAGGATAATCCCTGAGTCTAATCCTTGACATAGATGTTAGGTGGCATGATCCCTTTTGAACTATATCATGTTAGTCCTAAAAATCTCTAAAGAAATTGAGTCGATGCATGCTCATCCCCTACGAATAAACTTGTTAGTCTTGTTTATTCACCCTGAAGTTACTGGGTGTTTTGCAGGTAAAGAAGTTTTGTTGTGGGATACACAACACTCTTAGACAGGCTAGAAGTCTTGAAGTATTGTTGATAACATTGATTATGCACATGTTAGCATATCATGTTTACTTTTGTTTATTTTGATAAAACTTGTATTATGTGCTTAAGCACACTTTTTGGTATTCATTCTATGTGTATAATATGTGGCCAAGGGCCAAACTTCATTTGTAATCCATGTATATTCAAAAATGTAGAATTTTGCCTTTAATGAGGAAAGCATGAAAACTTGGGTTTCAATATGTCATTTTCGCACCGGTGTGTGCATTGTGTATGTAATTCATTCTTTAGCATTCATTTGACATACGTGAGGTGTGGCCAAGGGCCAAATACCATTTAGTTTTCATTTTTGCATTTTAGTTCACATATTGCATTTTTAGGCTAAATAGTAAAATCCGAGCCTTTAAGGGTTCATTTTCAAGTCGGGTGGTGCAAAGTGTGTTCCGGCACCTCCATTAGGTCTCATTCATCTTGTATAAAGTGTGGCCAAGGGCCAAACGGTCATTTGAAACCATTTCCTAATTTTGGTTTCCATTTTTTCCATTTCAAGTTCATTTTCGCCTTTTTGGCCGTTGAGGGGTCGAATTTTGACTCGGCCATTTTTGGAAGCAGTGGACCATTCCCGCGCGCTCAAAATCACCATTTACATCTGCGTGCATGAACATTTCTGGGAAAAACCCTTTCCTTTGTGATTTGAACCTCTTATGGAATCATTTTTCAATTTAGTTGCATAATCTGTTCTAGGGGTATTATAGACTTTTCGCATCAGTTTTATTTTCTTCTTTCGATATGGTCGCTTAGAAAATGTGATTTTAGAGGGGGTTTCTTCTTCGTGTTTTTCCAGAAAACATTGTCTTGGTATCAGAAATCCATCGCAAAGTTCAGCCTTCTGTTTTTTTTATTTAGCAGCTTTTTGGACCTCCATAACCAGATTTCATGGAGGGGCATTTCGAACATTCTACATTGCGTTTTTTTGAATTCTCTCATGAGTCACGTGGATAACTCAATTTTGATGGTGGGTTTCTTCTTTGTGTTTTTCCAGAAAAATT